TTTACTAGCTTTAAAAAAAAAAAAAAAAAAAAGGCTTCATGAACGTTTTTGCATACTTCCATTTGTGCCCTTGTGTTTAATCTACCGTGGATCACATTTTGAAGTGATAAAGGCTTTAAATTGTTGAATTTCCAGCGTCACCTAAATTAAGTATAGTATTTCTATTGGGCGTTGACCTTTTAGTTTTTAGTAAATTTTTAGGTACCAGTTACACAAGTGTAAGAGAAATAGAAATGGAGTGTATAGAACTTTGATTAAAGTGGTGATTAACACTTTTAATGTTGCTTCTCAGCCATGACTGAAAATTAAAGTTTAAACAGGGCTTGTCTAATGAATTCATGATCTTTGCTGTATATAAGCATCTACACAAACAGCACCCCTGTAGGAGGCCATACATAAAAAATCCTAGGCTGAATACTGAAAGGCCCAAGATGAAGGCATTTTACAGCTCATACTTGAGATGTATTGCTGTGGTATTAGAAGGCCTGCTTGTACAGCTGTTTATACCCAGTACATCTACTTAAAGGACTCTTTGGAAGCTCTGTGATTGAGCACTAGAATTGACACCAGAAAAGTTTTCCTGTATTACAGCTACTGACAGGAACTTTGTGGCTTATGAGCAGTACTATTATACAATTTCTCAAGTGTCATCTTCCCCAGTTGTTAACAATAAGTGATTTGAGACTGATATGCAACTTGCTTTACTGTTAGCTTGAGAATGCCAGGCTCTCCTCCGAGATGAGCAGCTCTGCAGCCAACTCTGTAAGAGAAGAACTGACAGAAAGCCGGATGCGGATTGAAAGTCTCTCTTCCCAGCTTTCCAACCTACAGAAAGAGGTAATAACTTACTTGTGTTTTTGTCCTTACCATTTTTATTAAAATAATGACTAATTTATGTAAAGGACTTATTTTTTAAAATGCATGTTAAATTTAATTTTATGGCTTGAATTTTTCTTATTATTTCTCATGTACCTTTCTGAATATCTTAAGTGTCTTAAGATATATTGATTTGGAATGGGAGTTATTACTGCTCTCTGGAAAATGCTTTACCTTCTACAAGTTAAAACTAAGAGGGAAGTGAAAATACTCCTTCCATTTGGTTTATTTTGTAAACTTGACAATTGCTTTGTGTATGGTCAGTTTACACTTTATTCCTTCTGTCATGAGGGTACAGTAGCTCCATAGCTTGGGTATCTTGAGGGTATGCTGAAGTTGTCAGGTCTCCTAAAGAATAGGCAAGAGAAATACTTTTAAAAAATATTAAGGGAGACTTGGTGGGGGAAAAAATTCAGGTCTCTTGCAAATTTTTTAAAAGTTGATTTTATTTATTTTTAAAGAAGCTCTAACTTCCTTTTTTTCATTCTCGAATCAATAAATTTTATCAAAATATATTCAACCAGTTCTGATCCCTTTCCATTTTCAGTTCTTTTGGTAGTCAAGTGCCTAATGACAAGTGAACGAGAATCCTTTGACTGTTACAACCAGTTCTGTGTTGTGCTTCGTGAAAGCAGGCTGTGTAGGTAGTGATTGTTCCACTTGTACAATCGGAGGTTTCATTTTCTTCACATGCCCATACCCACTCCCCCTCCCCACTGCACTGTTTGTTCTCTAATCGGTAAGTTCTTGTAATACATTGGACACCTTGAGTAACTTATTAAGCAACATGGCTAGTCATGGCCAAGTTCCCTTTTTCTCTCCAGAGTAGCAACACATGCCAGCAGAGTTCTGGTTTTTGCTTCTTTTCTATTGGAAGCATGGTCAAGAAGAGTGCACACTGCAGTTAGAGCTCAGCACCCTGTTGCTCTGTGGCAGCCTTTTTTGGGAGGAGATCTTGGGCTGGCTTCTGGAAGAGCTCCGTTCTGTCATAGATGAACTTTACGCTGACTGCAAAGTTCTATTGTACTAGGGATTTGTGAACCTTTTATCTTCCTTCCAGAGTTTTAGTTCATCAATAATTGATTCATTATTCTAGTAGTGATTGGAGACACATTTGCTTTATGGTTTTGATCACTCTCCATCAAGAATGTTGCATCCACATCTTGCATTCTAAAAACGGTTGGTAACTGTAGGACTGAAGCATAAGAATGTAAACAGACTTATAAAATGACCAGAATTTGCACCTCTTTCTAGACTAGAATCTTGCATTGAATTGTAAGCCAGACACAGAACACAATGATCACACAGTTCGTATGTCAGATTCTACCAAATGAGATCTTTTAGGCACTAGCAGAGTGTGATCTCCCAGAAGGGCCTAGTGCAGACACAGTGATTTCTTTCCAAGACAGAGATTGGAAAAAAGCATTCTTGTCTATTATTGTTGATGTAGATTCTCAGCTGACTCTGAATTAAACATCCAAATTGTGAACCTCAGTAGACAGTGTCCATGTTCTGCTGAAATTCCCTAGCCCACCAGCATCTCTTGCCTAGAACAACTGTAAAACACATTTTATGAAAAAATCAAACTAAATCCAGACCCCTGGATTCCTGCTGTAACTGGTTGTAAATTCTGTGCTCTGTCTACAAAACTCCTGTGGACTTCAGTGGGAGAACATGCAGACCTGATTTTTTGTTGCCTAGGTACACTGCACTACAGGATAGGAACCTGCTATTTCTTCTTTGCTGTTAGGGGGATAGAGGAATAGGCTGCTTCAATTGCTTCATATATTAAAAGTAATCAATAAAGGTGGTGTAGTATTTGATTTCTGTGACAAGACCAAATAGTATCATGGAATTTTCAGTGAACAAACTTGTCAGGATGTCAGTCTCTTCTGGAAGACACTACCCAGGGCAGCGTGTGGTTTATGTACAGTGCAGGCTACTGGTGATTCTTCTAGGTACCCTATTCAAAAGGAAAAACTTCTATCATTATAGACTTTTGTGACTATTCCTGATCCCTCCGGATTGGGATGATATGAGTTCTTCTTACTCTGTTTCCTCTAATGAAAATGACTCGGTCATTTCATTAGGATAGTGTCTTTTACTAATGCAGCTTTAGTAGTGTTCCTACACCTCAACCTTACTTTTAAGACCTTTGGATTTTTTGCCAGAAATGTAAGCATGTGCAAAGTCACTTGGACAATAAGTGCCAGATTAACATGATGTATGTGCTTGGCTTACATCTGTCACTGTTTCAGATCTGTCTGAGCCTTCTGTTTGTCTCCCGAAGTTTAGGTCTATTCAGGCCATACTTGTTATGGCATACATTTTTAGATTGCTTTGTATTGGAGGCCAATATGTTCTTAATATAGAACTGGATAGTCTGGCAGGTGTGGGAGGAGAGATTGGGAGAACTGGGTAATGTGTAACTTTTTTTGGGGGGGGGGGTCTAGACTTTTGAGACCTAGATTTTTCCTTTGATCCACTGGGTTTATTTTCATTTACTTTGAGAATAGGCATGGCCTGTTATGTTACTTGCCTGTCCTTCAAAGACACATTTTGCAGACACTAATTAATATAGCTGTACAACTTCCTTATTTATGTAGGCATGATTATTTCCATTTAAAGTTAATGTGAATGCATCAGTTTCCTTAAGTATCCAGGAAAATTGCAGCAAAAATGCAGAATAAACCTCATCCTAACAACCTTTTTGATGTTTTAAAGGTGTCTTCTTGGCATCTTTTTCTTAGATTAGGTTTTTTGGCCTTGGTATATCTAACATTTATCATGGGGAAACTGAGATGTACTCCACTGATTGGAACAGAGTCAGAAGGACTTCCTCCAACAGTGTGAGATCTTTTTACCAGGAAAGTATTTCCTAACTCTGCATCGTAACTACAGTGCAGACTTCAAAATACAAATTTCAATTTTCTGCACAGGGGAAGTTGTTCTGAAAACCGGTTACCTTTAAAAGGTCTTTCCTTTTTCCACTCTCAACAGATTTTTACAGTGCTTGTCCATTTGTGCATCCTGCCATACTTTGACACACATGACTTCAGAGCTCTTTCCCTCCCAGCTTCCCCCATATTTGTACCGTGCACATGCACACTGTTCCTTATTGTGTTATCCATAATGAGCATAAAGGATGGATGGTGCATATCTTCTGCTCTTAAGTTTCTTTTAAACATCTTGGGGAAAGAAAGAGCATTTCTTCTGTCCTTTTCAGCTACAGATTGTTTCTAGGTTATTCGTATTGGTAAATAGAGCAGATGTAACTTGGAAGTCATGAAAATACCAACATGGAATTCCTTTTAATCACTGTTCAGAGTAGACGGTCTCCCCTTCTCCTCACCAAAAAAGAAAAAAAGGATCATTGTGAGTAAAAATAAATAAATAAAATAGGGAGGCATGAGATGATGGTGCTCTTCAAGCATCTACTATTGCTGGACTGCCTGCAACAGCCCTGCTATAGAACAACATTTTTTCAAACTCAGATGAGATGGGATACCATATTTTCCTCTGACTACCCAATGGGTGCTTATCTTGTCTATGGAGGTTCTTGTCATAGCTGCCAAGCCTGTTTTTTGTCAACATGGGCCAGCCCCCAGGGTATTAATGTCTCTGCCATTCCCCCCCCCCCCTTGCTGGGGGCCAGGGGCGACCAAAAAAACCGAAATTGGGCAGCATGTAAGGCTGGCAGCGGGAGGGATTGAACGGAGATCATGTTGAATGTTTCAGTGCAGGACTATCCAGAATCCTTTTTTTTAACTCACAGCTGTTTATAACAACAGAGCTGATTTTAAATTCTGAGGAAATGCTGGAAGGAGTTTATTAAGTCCTTTGTGTGTGTGTGTGTGTGGCGTGAGGTCTTGTCCCTGTTACCCTCCTGATTCCCTCCCCACTGCCATCTTGGACCTTGCACTCAGGTGCTTGGTCTCTGGAACAAGAAAAAATAACTGCTTGCATTGTTTGCTTACAGCTGAAAGTCTAATGATCTTAGTGGCTGCTGTGCCAGCACTGGGGTCCCTGAATGACTGAACTTGTGCATGCTAATAAGATCGGGAGGAAAAGGAGCATACAGACCACACTGGCTTCCCTTCATAGGGTAGCCATTGAAGTCTACTAAAGTCATACTTGTATAGAATATTACGATTACAGCAGAGGGGTTTAAAATGTTAAAACTGCTCCTGGCATCCTAAATATAATTTTAAAATCCTAGTACTCTACACCCTGGTTCTCCTGACATCGCTGAGCTTTTTTTAAAATTATTATTTAACAAGTAATAAATTGTGCATTTGAATTTGCATGCATGTATGGGTCAGGTGTATTCCAAGTCTCAAATTGTACTTTTTAAGTACTTTTTGAGATGCCATGATTTAATGTCACTACTTCAGAAATCGGAAACAGATTTTGACCATTTTCTTGTCCAGGTACAATATGCATAGCTGGTACAATCTTCAGTGGGACTGAATGCATTGTTGTGGAAGGCATGGTATAGTAAAGGAAACTGAAGATTAGTGAATTTGAGTTCAGGGAAGGCAAAATGGTTTTAGGATTTATCAGCTATGAAATTAGTTGCTGCACTTTGACAGTAGGAACCAGCAGCATACCTACGGGTTGGGGAACTCCCTTCTCAAAAGCACGGTGGCAGAAAGATCTTGGAGTCATTATTGACTCCAAGATGAGCAGGGGCCGGCAATGTGAGGACACGGTCAGAAGGGCTAACCGTACCTTGTCATGCATACACAGATGCATCACAAGCAGGGCCAAGGAGGTGATCCTCCCCCTCTGTGCGACACTAGTCAGACTGCAGCTGGAGTACTGTGTGCAGTTCTGGGCGCCGCACTTCCGGAGGGATGTGGACAGCTTAGAGAGGGTCCAAAGGAGGGTTTCTTGCATGATCTGGGGACAGCAGGGCAGGCCCTGTGAGGAGAGGCTACGGGACCTTAACCTGTTCAGCCTTCGCAAGAGAAGGCTGAGGGGGGGACCTGGTGGCCATCTATAAACTTATTAGAGGGGACCAGTGGGGTTTCGGAGAGACCTTGTTCCCCCGAGCGCCTCCTGGAGAAACAAGGAATAACAGCCATAAGTTGCTAGAGAATAGGTTTAGACTAGACATTAGAAGGCACTACTTCATGGTCAGGGCAGCTAGGATCTGGAACCAACTTCCAAGGAAAGTGGTGATGGCTCCTACCTTGGGGGTGGTCTTTAAGAGGAGGCTCAACATTTACCTGGCTGGGGTCATTTGAGCCCAGTTTTCTCTCCTGCCCAGGGCAGGGAGTCGGACTAGAATATCTACAAGGTCCTTTCCAACTCTACATCTATGAAAGTAGTTTAATTATGTTGCCACTGTCTTGTTTTTTCAACTTTTAGTCAAGAGCGTGGCTGGATAGGATGCAAGAACTGGAGGACACGCTGGCTAAGGAAAGAGAGAACTATCGCAGGATGCTGACTGACAAAGAGAGAGAAATGGCAGAGATAAGGGACCAGATGCAGCAACAACTGAATGATTATGAACAACTTCTGGATGTTAAATTGGCCCTCGACATGGAAATCAATGCATACAGGAAACTGCTGGAGGGTGAAGAAGAGAGGTATGGAGTCAATGTATCATTGAACACTGGTGTCCGTTGGAGCTTTATTAAGCTAGTTAGCTCTTAAGAGACTTGTTGGGACACTATATTAAGCACTTCAGGTTCTTTGCTTCCAAGTTAAACTCTGAATGCGTCTGTATGTCTGTGGACACCTCACTTAAATTTCTGACCTCTATAGGTCGGCTTTCTTGGGGCAGGAATCCATATCCTTTTCCTCCAAGCTGGCTCATCAAGATGCAGCTCTGTGATGACTTTAGTTATAAGGTTTGCTGTAGTTATTCTTTCAAAGGGGTTACTGCGTTACTAGCCAGCTTTCGTAAACTAAAAAACTAGACCATTATATTAATAAAAAAAAAAAAAAGTATTGGAGTATTAAGTAGCTTATATTCTTGTTTTGCTTTTGTATTTGCATATTATACGAATGACCATAATAACTAGAGCAGGGGTGTTCAACCTTTGGTCCGTGGAGCTTACATGGCTCAAGAAATTTGGTGGCAGGGCAGCAGTGGTAATTCAATACTGCCCTGTTGCCAAATTTCCAACCCCCAAACTCCCTGCAGATGGGTTGGGGCCAAGTCATTTTCTTCCCCCTGTAGGCCAGGTCAGGGCTGTTTAACACCTTTTGCCCAGCTGCATGGCATCCCACTGCGATCATTCTGGGTGCCAGATTGGGACCACTGGTGGGATCTGGCCCATGGATGAACTGGGCGTTGCCTATCTGGCCCATACATGTTGAGCACCATTGAACTAGATCATGCTTATTGTTTCATAAGCTGAGTCTCTGGCCTACACGACATGCCAACCTGGACCTACAGTTTAAATCTTACTCCTTTTCAAATTAGGTCTAAAGAGCTTGTGGTTCCTCCACATGAGGCGGAGGTGATGCTTCAAAAGGTTAATGTGCCTTGGTTCAGCACTGGAAACTTTATTAATTGCCCTGATGATTTTAGGTTAGGTTCAGGGGAGAAGGCATGGGGCAAGTTGTTTGATGCATGTATTTAGTAATTCAGTCAGTATCAGATCAAACTCTGTGTACTGATGCTATAGTCTATGATCACTATATGCTTCCAAAATTGAATCCAGTCCAGTATAGCCCTGTGTGAGGTGCAACTTTTCATAAGACATGAAACTTGTAACATTTTTTGTTTTAAAAAGCAAAACAGGTCTGTTGTACAGGTGCACTGATACATCAGTCCCATACTGGATTGTACAGATATAAGGAAAATTGACAGTATTGGCAATATGGCTTTTTTGGCTGATTGTGGCCGATTTTCAAATGTCACAGATAAATGCCCCCGTGCATGCACGCAGCTGTAATGCAGCACACAGGTGGCTAGGAGCACAGTCCGGCAGCATCCAGCTGGGAAGTCTCTTGTGGGGGAATGGGGGGAGTGCAGCAGGGGCAGATGCTGTCTAGCTAGGGCAAGGCACAGGACGGAGCTGCAAGCAGCTTGTCTGGAGGGCGCGGGAATGACGGGGGGCAGCTCCCACCATTGCGCACACCCTGGGGGAGGCATGCACCCCTGGATCTTTGCCCAGGGTGAGGTGGGCTGCTGCTGCAGGCTGGGGCTGTGCTGGGCTCTTCCTAATGTGGGGCTGGGCTTGGGGCAGGCAGCGGTATCACTGGGAGGGGGGCTATGGTGAATTTTTTTGGAGCGGCTACAGCCCCCCCACTTCCCATAGTCCTGATTCAGAGCTGCCCACCCTGAGTTCTGCCCAAGCCACCCCTGCTGCCTGGAAGAGCTGGGTGCAGCCCCAGCCCACAGCAGCAGCCCGTCCCTGCCCTATATATAGATCAGGGGGCACACGATCCCCCATGCCCTCCCCAGGGTGTGCACAGCACAGGAGCTGTGCCCCCCAGTTCCATCCTGTGCCCCACCCTGGCTGGGCAGCACTTGCCCCTGCCCTTGCCCCACTCCCACTCTAACTGTGGGGGCCATGATCTACCCCTCCTTCCCCCAACACACTCTCCACAACAAAGCTAACCAGTAGGTACAAAAGCTTTCTTTGACATTTCTCTTAA